CAGATCATTTGCAGAAAGAGTTCAGTGACTTGCAAATGAGCACATACAGTACATTGTAGTATGTTTCTTGGGCACAGGTTGCAGCAGCAGCAACATGGGCTAACTGCTTGGAGCTTCAAATAAGTTAAGCATTTTAATGGCAGAACTGAAAGGAATCATTGTGTTAAGAGTATAATCTTTTGTATTGCAGCACTGCACTTTGACTATGGAAACAGAGGCTATTGATGGCTATATAACATGTAAGTATTCATTTTCATTAATTTTTTATTGGTAATAAAATTATGCTTTTGTATTACCTATATTTTAACTTCTCCATTATAAGTTTTTATGATGAATTCAATACTCTTATTTTCTCCTTGTTCACAGCTTTACCATTACATTAGAGAAAATAACAGCACACAAGTGAAATAAGAAGGAAATGTAGAAATATACTTAACTATATTAAAGATAACATGTAAATCAGTAGTAGCTTAGCAGATCCACACTTTCGTATTTGATTAACTAAGTTTAGACTAGATCAGGCTACATATATATCTACTAGTATGGCATATACTAAATATTTACTACTCTGTAACCTAATTTTTCAGACACATAATGTGAAAGAGGATTAGCTTCCTTCAGTTGACATGTTTTTAGCCAATTCTTTCAAACATCCAACTCTGATAGCTAGTATTTTGGAAAATGCTTATTATAAATACCGTATGCTTAATGATTAAATTAGAAGTTAAAAGAAACATTTTTTTTCAACTAAAGGATACTTTAAAAGTCAACTATTTCACTTTTTCTTATTTTACAGTTAAGATTACTGTGATGATGAAATTTTCTAATTTTTTTTTATTGTGGGCTAGTTGTGGTTTTTCATCATTTTGTTCATTTACTATATATTTCTAAATGATATTTCCTTATAGTTTCTTTTAAGGGAAAAAATGTATTACATTAAAATTTCAAGGCTATTCATGCCACTGCATGTATGAAACAAAGTTGCTAATTAGATTTTATATGACGATGAACAGAAACCAAAAGATTTTATTTTGTGAAAGCAGGTGACAATGAGCTTTCACCTGAAAGGGAGCACTCCAGTATGGCAATTGACCTCACCTCAAGCACACCCAATGGACAGCATGCCTCACCAAGTCACATGACAAGCAGTAAGTCTTCATTTTATGATTTTTTTTTTTTCTATTTCTCTAGTGACAGACGTGAATTTGTTAGGTCTGTGGGGTCCTCTCGCAGTGTGGTGTAGCTGCTGCTATAGATTTTGCTAAAGAAAGAACAACAGAGATTTATTCCTGTTCATTCTAGTATCATAAAACATGAGCTTGCTTACTAGTCTGAACTATCCCAAGGTGGCATTTGGGAGCTGGTGCTTACCTGTATCAGGTAAGAAATGTTAGGCTTTGCTGGTTATTGTTTTGACTTGCCAGGTTTATGACTAGATTTGTTGTTGTTGGGTAAAAAAAAAAAGATGGAAACAGGTCACTTCCAAAGGACTCTTCACAGTAAAAAAAAAAAAAGAAATAATTTAATATTGCCTTGGTACAAAGTTAATCCATTAGTGGTAGAATTGCAGTGTTACAGTGTTACTTGCTTTTTTTTTTTTTTTAATGTGAAAGTTTTTCTCTAAAGCATTGGAAGTGAAGTGTAATTGAAAAATTTGTAAAACTCATTTACATCTATTTCTCTAACAAAGTGAAAGTTTTGTTTTAGAATAGAGAAAAACAGAAAATTTGGAAGGATGTTTTGAACTTACAGGAATAGACAGTTTTGGCTACTATTTTTAACGAAGAGTCTTTCATTGATGGAGTAAACATTGTTTTTCTGTAGTAAAAGAGCAATTTACATGTCAATATGCCGTCAGTGACAGAAGACAAAATACTTTAAGAACATGGTTTGTTTTTCCTTCTATTTTATCAGTTTAGTGATCAAGTGTAAATTCTGTATTATTCCCACTCAAACAGTTTGAAATTTTGTGTTTCTCCTATACTTTTGGTATGTGTTATATTCTTATGTAGAAAGGACTTCTGACTTACATGTAACTTGTTTTAATTTAATTTAAAAGTGTTCTATTTGAGTGATATGTGAAGGCAAGGCATTTTCTTTCCTTTTTTTAAACAAAGATTTAATAACTAAAGAAAACCAAATCATCTACTGGATTATGAGCGTATTCTTAAGTTAATTCTGATTACCAGAGAAAACAAATTTTTCTTTCCACTTTCCTCTTACGGTCCTCAAAACTTAAGGTTATTATAAAGCTACTAGCTTTGTAAGTAGTAAAAACTTCTGAATTATAAGCAAACATAGAGTACTATTGAATACATTTTGCAATTCATTAACTTTAAGTGATTCTAGCTATTGACTTGAAATTTTGATTGAACGATGTGAATTTACTTATTTAATAGTTTTCTTTTTATTAATATGAAACACTTCCTAGGAAGCTTTTGTTCTAAAAGCAGTCATCAAAATTCCTTTATCACATAGAAAGAAAAATAGCGAGTGAATACATATTAAATTATAGTGCTGATCTCTCATAGTGGATCTTGTAGCATTAATTTATTTTTTTGCTAGTAGGCTTGATTCGGTAAAAGTTATGCTACTACTTTAATGTAGGCAGTACAGTTTTTACATTTTGCCATTAATGTTACTAATTCCTTGGCAGAATAGATTTTTATTTCTCAGATATTTTTTGTATAACTTCCTAAAGAGTAAAGATAGATTAATGTGCAATTTTTGTTAGCCAAATATTTAGCTATTGGCTTTAGAAACATTGAATATGGGGGGTAGATAATAATGTTAATCATAGATTTTGACTGTCATCCCCTAGCCTCCACTAGTTTGTCAGCAGGAGAATGCTTTTTAATTGGTTAATTGGCTCCTTTATTTGTGAATTTGATTCTGGTTTTACAAGTAGTAGGTTCAAAAAAGCAGTTCACCCATTTATTTTAAAATAAGTAGTGCAGAGTGTAGGCATGGTCATTTGAGCAAATAAGAGCTGTGCTTTTGACATTTGAGCTTTTCACACCCAACGACAGTAAAATTATGTTTGGTAGAAAGGTTTTGTTTTTGTTTTTTAAACTTACTAGCCTGTGGCAATTTCATGTTAGCATGGTTTTTGGCTAAGCTGCACATGTTTTTGCGTTCTTTTCCAAAGAGTTGCAGGTTAAATATTTTGGCTCTCACTTCAGAGCTGTCTGTTGCATCCTTTATGTAGCCTCTATTTACAGTATCTAGGTTACCCACTTAGGTGTTAGATGGAGAAGATACCCATTTTTCCTCTCTGTTAGATCTAGGAGAATATCAGCATTTTAGATTGCCAAAGCAAATAGTGGTAGAGAGGGACTCTTGTCTATTAATTTGAACAAGAGACTTAGATTCGGTCTGTCAGATGTTTTTCTGACTTGAAATAAGTTTTTTTGTGCTTGTGACCTGTCAAATCACTTGTATCCAAGATCACTGGTTTTTGTAAAACCCTTACATGCTTTGTTGACTTTATTAAATGAAAAGAGCTTAATTTATTTTCTGCATTTTTTTTTACATCTTCAAATATACTTCCTGAAGGGCTGTTGCTTCTATAAACAGAATTGCAATTTTGATTGAAAGTATTAAAGCCTAAGGTAAATGTGAAAATTTTTATGTTAGCCTCCAGTAGCAGCCAGGAGAGGACAGGAGTATATGTATAAGAGGGAGAAAGTTATTTTAAAACAGCTTAGAAAATAAAATAATTAAAACCTTTGATTTTTATAAAATAATGAATATTCGGGCCGTAAAGTATTGACAAGATGTGATAACTCACTTATTGTGGCTTTAGCAAAGTGGTCAGTTTTACTATAAGGTCCTAGTCATTTATTTAGGTTATTTGATAACTATACTAAGATGAAAGGTATCTGTACAAGTTGCTGCCAGCTATTGTATAAAAATAATGACAGCAGCTATCATTATTTGACAGTGCTAGAAGAGAGAATCAGTGACTTGGGAGAGAACTAAAAATGTTATAATGCCTGACAGTTTTTGGTTTTAAAATTCAGATATAAGATAATCTTAAAAAGAAGTAAAGGATATTAGTGATCTTAACATTTTATAATGACTACTTCCTATGTTTTAAAATGAATTTTCTTAGAAAACTTCAAACTTTTTCTTCTGGAATAAGGATGTCTTTGATAAGAAGATGAGCATTGTTGCCTGAGATCATTAGTGTACATATTGAGTCTGCTGACAATCTTCAGTGTCAGGGATGACAGTATATGCCTTGATGGCTACTGGAAATACACAGTGTTAAGTGATTCTAAAAATAGAATCTGGAAGTTAAGAATCTGAGACAGACAACTCAGACAGAACAATATAAAAATAATCCATATTGTATTTCGGCCCATCAGATGAAACTTACTTTGTGATTCCTTCTCTTTCTGGGTTAGCTCATTTCCAGTTCTTGCAAAGTTGCTTCAGGATCAGTTTCAAACTGGTCTATGCCTGCTGCTGACTATTTTGAAAACATTTTAAGGTTCGAAAATTATAATTAATCTTATTTTTCTTATCTACTTTTATAATACCAACGAGTAAATTTTATTTGGAAATAGTTTAATGGTATGAAATACAAAATACAAACTTCGTTTCTATTACTTTAAAACCTTCACGCGGATCAAGTTCGAAGTCAATACTATTTATCAGTCAGTTTGATGGCTGGGTGGCATGTATGGAATTGGAAGAAGTAGTAATTCTAGTTTTACAAGACTCTGACCAATAATCAGGTCAGAGAATCTAGCTTATTCTTTTTAGAGTGCTTTGCACTTATTTATTTTTTTTCTTAGTTGCCGTTTTTAGAACCTAGTGAAGCAGAAGTATATTATGATTTCCATTTTTCATATGTGGAAATGGAAGCTTAAAGAAATCACTTGGCCTCTTAGCAGAAGGAAGAAGTTGTCAGGATTGAGACATAAAACTGTGATATTACCTTGTAGGTTAGTTAGATTACTTAACTGATATTTCTCTGTAATGTCATTATCTCAGCGTGCCCACCATGTCCAATACTGACCCATGTTTTGATGACAAAAACTGTGTTACAGAAGTAGAAGAGGGTTCTTATGAGGATGGAATAATATCAGATAATCTTGTTAAGCATATACTTGAGTGTGCTTTTAAAAATATAGCTTGGATTATGGAACTCACTAGCTTTCATATAGCTTAGTTTGGCAGTCACCCTTGGTTGGATTTCAATAGGCTACACCCTAATATAACACCAGATGGGCTTGATGTAAAAACTCACTCTGTTTTGAATTGTGGTACTGAGGCTTGTGTATACACCCAACATACCTTATATTTAGTTTTTACTTGTTAGGAAATTTTAGAATTTGATTTGATTACTTTATATCTATCATTGTCATGGCTATGTACCAAAAGGAAAAAAAAAATAACTAAAAGAAGTATGTACAGTGGAATATTACTCAGCCATAAGACAAGATGTGACATTTGTGACAACATGGGTGGATCTCGAGATAGTCTTGCTAAGCGAAATAAGTCAAACAGAAAAAGTTGAGAAACATGATTTCACTCATATGTGGTATATAAAACTGAAAGAAACAAATGAACAAGACAAACAACCAAAAATTTAATAGGCACAGTCAACAGTTTAGTGGTTACCAAAGGGAAAGGGGGTGGGGGGAGAAGGAGGTAGATAAGGAGAAAAGGGGTTAAATATATGGTGTTGGAAGGAGATTCAATTTCAGGTGGTGAACACACGATGCAATATACAGGTGATGTGTTATAGATCTGTACAGTCAAAACCTATGTAATTTTATAACCAATGTCACCCCAGTAAACTTAATAAAAAAAGAATTATAAAAATAGAAGATGTGTAGGGTTTAATTACAAAAATACTGTGCTGTATGTTTTCTTTGTACCTCATTTCTCCCTTCTCTCCATTTTCAGACTGCTTCAAAGTTAGAATAAAAGTCTGTGTTCGAGAAATAAAACAACTTACTGTAGAAGCGTTATCCTTGTGCCTCTATCTTTGTCTAAATCCGTCTTCCCCAGATTTTTTTTTAAATGTAAATGATTAATTAGGTTCTATTGAGAGCCTTCCTTGAAGCTGTGATGAATTGAGATCTCTGCGTCTCATGCTCTTCTCTCCTATCTTTGAGTAGTGATATATTCTGAT